TTTTTCTTTCGAACTTGTGCATTATAAAATAGTTGTTCATAATTTTTCTCTCGAATCTAATGCATTACTACTCTAACTACTTTAGTTCTGTCATTGCTTATATAAAATAGCGAGTTGGTCATGATTATATATATATTTTTATTATTTTCACTTTATCCTTAAGAATATAGATTAATCTATTCAAATAATATAAAGGAAATATAACCCACAGTCCCTAAACATTACAGCTTGTTGCACTCGAATCCCCATTCAATTTTTCGCCACATTTAGGTCTTCAAGATGTCATTTTTGGTCCACGTGTAAAAATGTCCTGAAATCATTTAATAATGGGAGCTCACTTGAGGCTTAGGGCTCGGCTCGGCTAGCTCGAGTAACAATTACTCAGGCTTTTTTTTGTCCGAGCTAAAGCCAAGCCAAAGCTTGGTTCAGGCTTTCGGCTCGGGCCTAGTTGAGCTGAGTCGGCTCATTTTTTTTTTTAATTAGTGATATTTAAAAAATTTTTAAAGCAATTTAAAATATCTGCAATTTGACATTTAAATACTAAAAAAATGTCCCATTCTACAAAATTTGAATTTCAAAGGATGTTACAATTGCTTTTTTTGCCTTCTATTTTTGTGTTACATTGCTGTCTAAACACTAAATGATTGATGTTTAATCCCACGCCAATCCTTAAAAGTCCCCCGTGCTTGCATTTAATCATATGCACCCCCACACTACCCTATCCTATCCTATCCTACCCTACCCCTATCCTTCTTTCTCTGCGTATACACACACTAATTGTTTCTATATGTCCATATTTCCACCTGCTTCTAGTACGTTTCCACATCAAAACAATAATGAAAGAAGAAAAATATTATTCATCCCCAGTGGGTATGTATCCCCAATCTATATGGATGTAAATGATTGGTTAAATGATAGGTAAAATTAAATGACTTATTTAATTTCACATATTATTTAATGTCACATTAACGCCACATAGATTGGGAATACATCCCAGTAAAGATGAATAGCATTTCTCATGAAAGAATAATGCTAAAAGATGTGACATAATAGGATTTATCACAACACGCTTCATAGCTTCATTAAAGTTGCTTTCTGCGAGTTCAGATTGGGGAAGGGTAATAAAGCGAGAAAATATGATAATGCGGAGAAAAAGAGGAGTGTAATTGAGGGGAAATTATTATACATATGCGAAATGTCTTGCTGGATTTGATGAATTATTTATACTTCATTTGTGGGATATTCGAACTTCATTTTCATGATAGCTGACTCGCCTGTTTGATTGATCTTTCTTTTCTATGGAAGATGAAAATTAAAATTCATTTTCACATTTTTACATGTTTGATTGACTAAATTTTCCATAGAATTGGTTTTCTATATTTTCTTGATTTTTGAGGAAAAGTTTTTCCCGTGTGTTTGGTGGGAAAAGTTTTTCTAGGCAATTTTTTTTTAAATTTTTCTTTTGGCAATTGAAACAAATTATATTCCAAATTGTAACAAATTCTATCTATTTAATAAACAAAGTCAAACGAACGCCAATATATTCAAAATTTTAATATTTTTAAGGTGGAAAATTAT